CAGCAATACTTGTCAAATAAGACCATGCAGTTATAGGGACTAGCCCAGAACATCTCATACAAAATGGCATGAATTAGATGACTTCTAAGATGGCTTATTTCCCCCAAAACATGTGTTGCTTGCCTCAGGCTAGAAGATGGGATAAAACTGGTTTAATCTCCTAACAAGCTGAGGCTACTACCCCCCTTAGCTGAGTTTGACAATTAAACCACAAGAATTTCACTTCCTTTCTAGTTACTGGCAAAGGTGACACAGACAGCAGCAAAAACGTCGTGGACTACTAAGGCAAGCTTTTCATGCTGCATATGGTCACCAACACTAAAACACATTTCCCTAGGGATATTTTATTATCAAGTTTCATTTCTCCAAAACACCTTCTTGCCAGATAGCTCTCTTCAAGACACATCTTCAACCTGAAACAAAAAATAACAATTTCTGTGTTGAGCTCAGGTAAAAAAGATCTATCAGAATGACAAGCGCCTTGGAGCCGGTGACCACCCGGTTGAGCTGCTCCTGCATGACTTTGAGAAAAATTACCAGATGTATGTGTATCCTGTGCACTGGCAGTTTCACCAGCTTGACCAGCATCCTGTTGACAGGTAAAAAAATATATGTGGTTCAGTTATGATCTGCTGATTAAACTCAGGCTAGTTTACTTTTCTACACACCTCAAGGGATTCTCTATACACAGAACCAGTCCCTTAGCTGTTAGAAGCCATTATCACCCCCCCTCTAACACAGAACTTTTTCTCTCATTGTTTTCTTGAGCATATCCTAGGTCAGAATCTGCTATCCTCTTGCCTTGCACAATCAAGTATTACACTCTAAGTTCTACAGTGTCTTAATACCTATTAATGCTCTCAGCCAGGAAGAAGTCTTGTCATACTGAAGCTAAGAGAAACAGGCTAAGTACAAAGGACAGAGCCCTGGCAGCAAAGATCCACTAGTGAGGTATCCATAATTTTCAGCTAACACTACAGAGATCTCTCAGTTTAAGGAGCAAATATAGTCACAGTCCAGAGGAAGCTTCTACCTTCTGAGAACATAACTCAGATTTCAAGGTTTTGGTCAAATCAACCAGTGATGGAATCTGTATTTCCAAGTTCAGACCTTCAATATCTCAGGACAACCACACTTACTGTTTTAGAACATTTAGAACACAGTTAAGCACTTTGCAAGCTTTATATACTGAGGATTAACAGCAAAACTCCACAAGCGATGAGTTGCGAGCAAGTTGCTCCTGTCAGTACCTGTAATTACTACAAAAGTAATACTTGTTGTAGGAAAAAACAAACTTGCTGTTGGCAAACAAACATTCAGTAAAAGCACTTAGCTCATCAGATATTAGACATCTTTATCATTACCTGGAATATAGTCACTACAGAAGCACTGCAACAAAATCCAGTGGGGCATCTCTGATAAAGCCATCATTGCTGTCTTGTAGCATCTTTGCAGATCAGCTCTGATAATCCTGCTGATTTATGAAGGAAATGCAGCTCTCCATACCTGCCCTTTCTTTCAGATTATTAACACACTCGGAGCTTGCACCCTTGAGAGCCTCCCTTGTTCCCATGGAACACTGCATAACCCGTTTCTTCCAAGAGTGCGATGGAGACAAGGACAAACTCATTGCTTTGAAGGAATGGTGCCACTGCTTTGGGATTAAGGAAGGTAAACCTAAAAGAATAGGCAGATGCACCTGACAGAATGTTCCTGCCAAGAACATTACTCTGACCTCAAAGTAAGGCAAAGAAATTGTGAGCAGAAGCCCATGGCTGCAGTGCCGAGAGGAATACAGAACACTAATAACAAGCCTGCAAAAGGTCAAGAGGGTTAACAACGCAGCACAGGTTAATCCCAGAAGAGTTATGGGACAGAGGGCATTTGGCCAAACAAGCACACTGAAGAAATGTGTTTAAAATCCTACTAGCAAGTCCCTAATTTAAGTGGAGGCTGATTCTGGTCAGAAGTCAGACACACGGAACCTTTACTTTTCCCAGAATTTTTCCAGCTCTTCTGATAACACTTTACCAGCCATGAAGGATGAAAGCTGCAAGGAGTTATCTTAGTACATGTATACTTGTGCCAGTGATTGCTCATTCATAGCATCAGTCACTTTATTGATAGTGATACAAGATAAAACTGTCCCTTCGGCATTAAATGTTAATAATGTTTTCTTCTTCTTTATTGCAGAAGACATAAGTGAAAATCTCCTTTTCTGAGCCCAGTGAGCAGACTCCCACTACTGTACTAAAATTGATGAATCCTGCTTACTTTTGTAATTAACAGTTTAACAGCCTTCAAGAAAATGGTGGAATGAGGTTCACTGAATTCTTATCAAACAACCCAAGTGCAGAAAATTCCTACACTCATTAACAGCAGAAAAATTTAACTACTTCATAGCTAAAAAAACAGTGTTGCCTCCCACATGTATCCATGATCTTTCTGAACCAATAAACAACTACTAACCTAATGACTAAGCTGTTCACAAAACTCTTCAGTAGAATTATAGAATGTAGATGTTATCACTCACTGAAATGGGATCTGTTTCCTTTATTTACTGTATTGTCAGCTTAACATGCTGCATAGAAGTCTCAAATAAAATAGAAGTCTATTGGAGATCTGGGTTTCCTCACAACTTTGTTGAAGAAAATTGTGTTTCTTTCATCTTTGCGCATCATTTGCTCTCCTCAAGAGAGGCACAATTTAAGCATAAAAAAACCCAGGATAGGATGAGATTATTCCTGAATCCCCATAAATTTGTGATTTTAAGGTAAGCACTTCACTGAAAACATTCCAGGCATATTCTGCTTTAAGGAAAAAGCCCCAAATGCTATTCCCACAAAGGATGATCAGCAAACATCTTTCACCTGAACCACGTCACCTCTCCAAAGAAAAGAAAATGGGAGTGAGAAATGCTATTTTGGTAGCTTAAATAGTGGAAGTCCCATCCCCCTCTGCTAACTTGCTCTTGAACCAGCAAAGGCTGATAATCATTGTCCAATGCCAGGCTGATGCCCTGGGATACAATGAATTAAGCTGTGATTATTTTCAACACAAGGACTTCTTACACAAACCAGAGATTACTTCCTAGCACTGCCACTTTTTTTCCATAATCCTGACTTGTTGCTCACTTCACATTCTGCAACATTACACAGCAGTGTAAATAACTCAGCCTGGATGGCATGTACAAAAGCACATTCTCTATGCTGGTTCCATTTGGAAAAGATCCTTTCTCTGGGACTTCAAATATCTTGGGAGAGAAAGTAATTTTGACAGCACTTTTCCAGCCTGGCTGCAGCCTATTGCTTATTTGCTCTGTCTTTTGCTTAACCCAGACAGAGTTGGGTGGCAGAAACACAGCTCTCAAACTGCAAGTACACTGCCAGTACACAGCTGGCCTCAAAAGGTAATGACTTTAACCCACAAATTCCCATTTCTTCAGGAAAAAGAATTTATGCTGTCTCTAGTTTGCAGCTTCAGTACTCTCAGTATTATCATCCGAGTACTCCTCCAGCATCGCTACAGTCAGAATATCTACAGTGAAAAAATAAACAACAAATACTCTTTTCATAACACATTTCCACTGCCAAGCCTGTCAATCCTCTAAGGATTAGTAGCGGTTGTTACAAAAAAAAAACCTGCAGTTTTTATCAGCTGAGAAGCAAACTAATAACCCAAAACATCTGAAGAAGTGATGATTCATAACATTTTGTGGTTTTCTGATGCAAGACAGAGTATTAAAAACTGTATATAGAGACTGCAGATCCACATCCCCTGACTGTCTAAGAAGGGTCTGCTCTTATGGATCATGCTTTCAAAATCCAGCTACACTGCTGGGAGTCTACTCTGCATAATGCAGCACATCACAGAAGAAAACAGATGGGCAGGAAGAGGTGAGCAAGGATTGAAAGAAAAATTAATACCTTTTGACACGACCTTTTCCTTTGAAAAGAACACTAATAACTCTGCAAGATTCCCAGGGTTTCCTGCATAAACACCCATAACTCCTCCAGGTTTCACTAGCTAATTGGGAGGCAGGGGTAGGGTTGAAAAGGAGAAAGTCCTAAACCCATTAATTAGTTAAGCAGGATGTGGATAAAGTCTCAACAGTGCATGACCGTGTCACAGTGCTGTTACACAAGGTAATTCCAGACCATGACATTTATCACCAACTCACTTCAACCCATGGATCAAAATTCCTGAAGTCCTCAGGTCTCAACATCAACTTTCAGCTGTCACTGTCACCAACTCCTGACACCAGTACACAATTAACAGCAATTGATTAAAAACACAGAGAGAAATGTCAGCAACTGCTGTGCAGCCCCTGTTAGCAGCACAAATGCTAAAGCCCCCATCAGCCTCCAGACTGCAAGTTATTCACATCACCCGTAGGGTAAGAAACCAGCACAATTTACAAGATTATATTTAAGGCTGCTCTTTCCAGTGATTCTGTTGATGATGCAGTCTCCACAACAGCTGTACTGTACCCCACAAGCCGTGGGAAGAGAAGGAACAACAAAATTCAGCTCCTCATATCAGTCGCAACTTCTTTGACACAGAGGCACAGTCACGCATTCAGATGTGAATCCCAGCCACACTGTAAACTAAAAAGTAATTGAATGTGAAAACTAATCACTCAAAGTACAAAATCCCTGCAAAGATATCTAAAGTGAAATGACTCAGAAAAGAAATTTCACTTTATTATGCAGCACTTAAGTCATTATTCAGGTTATCCTACAAGTCTCTCATTCCTTAGGGATCCATATTCCTGGAAAGGAATCAGTGCAAAAATAAAGAGCCTGTGAACTACTACCAGTCAGAATGCCAGTGCTGCCATGCAGATCTGCAGGCATTATGAAACAGCTGCAAATAATGAAGCCAAGAAAGCAAAACAAGAGCCCCACATTCTTCTCATTTCACACTAGCTAAGAAATCAAAAGAAGCAATCTGAAGTCTCTGAAAAAGCCTCTGTTTATCACTGTCCAGTGTTTCTCCCAGCTGAATTTCACAGAATTTTCACTGAGGATGACGAGGACATCTGTTTCAAGGCTGGAAAACATACTCTCCTTTCAGAGTCTGTCAGTTCCCAGTTCCCATCACTCGTGGCACTCAGAGCCAGGATCCTCACTCCAGTGGGCTCCCTGTTTCTCAGTCACCAGCTTGATGAAGTAGCTGTGACTCGCATACAGCTCAAGCTTCTCACTGATGTCGACCCACTTCACCACTCCAGCATCATCACCTGCTTCCAGAGGCAAGTTATCCATTGTCTCACCTGTTCACAAAACGAGAGTTAGAACACGCTATTGCACCTCTTCTTCCTGCTTTTTCCCCTCTCACATCCTATTAGTTCTGCCTTTCCACAATGCTCCTTCACAGGCTGCAACCCTCAAAGGCTTCTCAGAGAAAAAACAACTAAATCTCTCACTGAATCTCTGCCAGATTCTTTTTCAGACTTGCACTATTTTAAGGCAAATCTGAACAGCAGAAATGGTGTTAACACCCTGTCATCGTTGCTAGGATATCACCAGCAGCATGAAAAGTTACTGGAAACCATCATGACAACATGTACTTATCACCCCAAGTTTAGCCAATACATCTGCCTGGATTTTTGCTTGTTTGCTTAATATTTGACTGCTCCTTTTCTCACATACTATTCTACAGGACAAACTGAATTCTGAAACTTATATACGCTAATGAAAAAAAATTAAAATTTTACTGGAGGCCCCAAAATAAAAAATACTAGTTTTTAAGAGGGGATGCCTTTGCTTCTGAATTGCTTTTTTTCTCCAAGTTTTCACTCTGTTTTTAAAAAGGATCTCAGGACTTCATAAACAACAACCAAGGAAATGCTCTTCTCTTCTGTATTGGAAACAGAGGCCAAAGATACACTATCTCCACTATTTCGGGGGACAAATAAATCTGGGACCAGTGACATGTGAAACTTCACCACTGGCACCCACTATCCCAAATTCAGTGGAAATGTCATTGCATGAAGTCTCTGGCTTGAACACATCAGAAACATCTAGGTAGCTTGATTTATCTTACGGGTGAAAAATGGGAGTCCGAGGTAACAGGCCAATTTAAGAATCTAGTCCCATATTTTACACCTTTCATGCTCCCCTGATTTCACTGCCATTCTCAGCTCAACAGCAGCCCCAATTTCAAACCAACATATGGAGTAAAAGGCAACTAAGAGCGTGCCTGGAGATATTTACCTGTTTCATCATGATAGTTCACAGCCTCTGTCTCCATCCAGGCATTATCAGTGTTACGAGGGTCATCCACATATCCTCTGTACACCTATAAGGGCCCGAACAAACCAGAACCAGCTCAGTGTCAAAACAAACAAGGTGGAATCAGTCATACTTTTTTCTTTCCTTCTGAGACATTTGCCCTTACAGAGTTTTCAACAGTCCCTTCAATTTCCTACACCCCAAGAAGATGAGCATCACAACATATTTTCATTTCACTGCACTTCCTCAGGTTTTATACAGCTATGAGTTACATGCACAGCTCAAAAGGCTACCACAAGAGACACAGAGCTCACCACAAAGTGTTCCTGGCTGAACAGCTTCTGGAGCTGCTTCTCCAATTTTGCTTTCTCCTCAGGGGATTTCTGCAGGGAATTCAAGGCCTCCTCCTCAAATTCTCTCTTCAGAGTAGCAGTGATCTTTTCCCCTGGGTCCACCATTCCCTTGGAGGGGGGGGAAAAAAACAAACAAAAATATGCTATCCCTCAGATTCTACATATTTTAACTCCTAGCTCTTAGTATATTACATCCACTTGCATCACACATGTGCCATATCTGTCTCATGGCTTCACCAGCAGGGAAATGCCAGCTGCCTCTGAAGCTTTGTCCTTACCCCAGGAATGGCCCACTCCCCACAGTCTCTCCTCTTGATGGCTACAAACTGCAAGATGTTCTTGCCAGAAACTGGATGAGCAACTTTATTGCCACTTCCATCCCTTTTCCACCTGCAGAAAATGATAAACAAGAATATGTTTTGCTGCTTCCTGACACCTGGGCCTGAGAGAGGAAGAGCAAGGCACTGCAACCTGTGTGAGGACAAACAAAGCAGAGAATGAACAGCTGAGGCAACCAACAAATGCCATCCAGCAGGATCGCAACCAAGGACGGAACAATGAGGGTTTTCCTCAGTCAAAAGGGCAGAAAATGCCCATGAGGCATGTTTCTGCAGCCAGGCTGGTGGCAGCAGCTCCTCTGAAAGCTCTCCAAGCTGCACTTGTCATAATTCATACTAAGAGGATGAGAATGTTTCTACTGGAACAAAATGGTCACACAAACTGCAGCAGTACCAGGACAAAGCCACAAGCAGTCACCATCACCTTCAGCAAAGAACTAAGAACTACCAATAGGCAGAGCAAAAAGCTGTCTAAAAAAAAATTTAAATAAATAAATAAATAAATAAATAATAAAAAAATTCCAGCATTCACTTTCAAGGAAGCAATTCAGTAGCATTGGCATCCTTCAGGAAAGGGGAAGAAGTGAAATGCATCAGGATGATTTTCCACAATGTTTCTGTCTTCGGCATGGCACTTTCTAACTCACACTTCTGTTAACCACACAATCTTTTCTGAATGCTTTGTGTAAAATGCATGTACACACACATCCTGCTGGAACAGCACATCAAAACAAAGCATACAGTGACAAAAAGAGCATCCTAATCCTACCTCCTCCTGTCATAGACTAAGTCAAGTAAGTGTTTCTTACATTAACAAAAGCAAAATGGGCTTACAAACAGAAACCAAACAGAGAAAATGGCCATGAAAACTAATACCTTGCTCAGAGAAGCAGAAAAGAAGCAAAATGCATGGGTTTTTTCTCTAGTGCAGGGTACCTTGCAGTTACCTGCCCCTTACCTGGTTACAACAGGATCAGCAGCATGGTTTGGTCCCCAGCGCCCTAACAATCCTCGGCCAGTGAGGCCAGTCCTTCCCACTGGATTGCTGAAACAAATGCCACAGTACATCACTCATGTAGTCCTGAACTGGCTCCAACTGGAAATTAAGCCCAGCCACACCCAGCTCCTCTGATCTCTGAGGACCAGCTGAAACAAAAAGGAGTTTATTTTCTGCTAAATTTCCAATTAAATGTGTTTATTCCCCACATTCAAAACATTCTACAAAAAAAAGAAAAGCCAAACAAAAAACCCAACTAAAACGAACTCAAAAAACCACACATCAAGATTAAATAACAAAAAAGGGAAGGACAGCAACACATATTTTGTGTTAAAGCACATACATGCTTTAAAGGGTGAGAGACACAACACGTTCTTCTCATTCACCAACTCAGATTCTCAAACTAGATTCCATTTTTCTCTCTTGGCTTTGTCCTAGTAGGTACCATGTATTGGAACTGACAGACCTGTAAGAGCACTGAAACTACACCACTGAAATGAATACACAAACAAAAACCCCACACTCACCGGGGTCTCCCATTTTCGACCACATACAAGCCATTCAGACTCTTCCTCTCCACTTCTCCATCTCTCTCATTGAACTTGGGAGAAAAACCTTCATCGCTGCGTGGCAAATAAATATTTAACAGAGACAAATTACAAAACACAAAAGCTTGTATGCCATCCATCAGACCACCAGCACCCCTTTGTGTGTGGATGAGCAGTTTTTACTAGAACTGGAGTTGCAGGCCCTCCCTTTTCTAAAGGGGGCTATGAAGTCCTAAGCTTTTCTGATCACAGACCCTCTGTATTTGAACTAAAGTATTTAATATTGCATGTCTCTCAATCTTCACTTAGACAAAGTGTTTCAAAAGTATTTTTGTTAAGATTAGAGGTGTAGAATCACAGAATCCTTTTGGTTGGAAAAGACACCTAAAATCACCAAGTAAAATGCAGCACTGTCAAGCCCACTACTAAACCATGCCCCCATGTGCCACATCCAAATATCTTTTAAATGCCTCCAGGGAAAGTGATTCCACCAGTTCCCGAGGCAACCTGTTCCAGGGCCTGATAAACTTCTTGGTGAAGAAATTTTTCATAATATCCAATCTAAACCTCCCCTGGCACAACATGAGGCTACTTCCTCTTGTCTTATCCCTTGTTACACAAGACAGAAGAACTGACACCCACATTGTTACACAGTCACAACAAAAATCTGTGTGTCACAACCTTTCACATTTCCTGAGTCAGAGAGCTCCCTTCAAAAACTATAATTACACTTTCTCTTTTCATATTGCATCCCAACCATGAATAAACAAACAAGTGTATCACTAAAATGTTCTTTCTGAAGGAGAATTAGATTTTTATTTGGCTCACAACACAGAGAAACATATGCACAGCATCAACAGCTGCCCATTATTCCAATCACAATCATCAGCTCAGTAAAATCATGCATCAAAAACCTTCACAACAATCCAAAGTACTCAGTTCTCTAACTACTACTTTCCTAAATCTTAATTTTCACACATCACTGTAGAATTACACATCACTTAAGATGATCTTGTTAACTCAATTCTTTATTATTTCCTGCTTTCAGGTTCTCAGGGGAAAAGAGCCACCATTTCTACTCACTTGATTTGGGGATCTGCCCAATTGGGTCTGGCCAAAACAGACTTTGCAGTGTACTCCACAGGATTATAATCTTCCCACTCAGTCAGCCAGCCCACTTTATCTTCAGGAACTTGGCTACGCTCAATGTGTGATCCTGGATATGGGGAGGTGAGAGCTTTTGTGTGGTGGAACTTCACATTATAGCTGTTGAACATGCTTGCAGGATGAAGACGGGACCAACAGCTTGCAGATAAATTACTAAAAGAAAAAAATAAAAATAACATCTCATTCATTACATTTTAACATGCTCTTTAATCTTTAAAGTACAATACAGCAAGTGGAATAGACTCAGCTCCACAGAATCAATTAGGTTGGAAAAGGCCTTTGAGATCACTACAGCCAAACTATGAATAAATACCATCGTGTCACCTCGACCATGGTACAAGAACCACATCCAGTCTTTCCCTGAACACCTCTGGGGATGGTGATTCCACCACCTCCCTGCGCAGCCCACTCCAACGTCTAATGAAATTAGAAGAAATTCCTCCTAATATTCAACTCACGAAATGCCTGAATTTCACAACAAAAACCTTTAACAGAGACGTGGGAAAGGGCAAACCCGCTCTTGTACTTTCCAATAATGACATCACTTTAAGGGACAGTTCCGCTTGCCTTTCCCCCAAAGGGACACCCTGAGGGACACCGCACACTCCAGCCAAGCTGCCCCTCGGCGGGCAGGGGGTGTGCGGCAGCCCCGGGATCTCGGCCGAGCCATGAGCGGCGACTCCCGGCGGAACGGGCCGCCGACCGTGGGCAGGGACACCGGGACGCGATCCGGGCTCCCACGGCTCCGCCACCGCCACAGCCCGCCGTACCTGTGGGCGGGGCGGCGCTGGGCAGCGCCCCGGGCCCTCAGCAGGACGGAGAACGAGAGCACGACCACCACCCGAGGCAGAGCTCCGGCCGGCAGCGGCATCGGCCCCACCGCGCCCGCACCGCCAGCGATCCCGCCTCCGCCTCCGCCTCAGCGCCGGGGCCGGGGCCGGGGCGCTGGGCCTGCGAGGCGAGGCAGCCTGCTGCAGGATGCCGCCCCTTGATCCCGCCCCTTGGTCCCGCTTCGTGCCGCCCCGCGCTTGTACAAGCTGGCCCCGCATTGGCGGGAGCGGCATCAGGGGCAGCGCCCGGTGCCTGCTCTGGCTGGGGCGGAGCTCCGTGCCCAGGGCAGCCCCGCAGTGCCGGGACGGGCACTGGCACTCAGGAGAGGGTCGGTGACACAGCCGTGTTTGGCTGCCGCTGGCAGCGCTCCCACAGCATCACTGCTGTGTCCCCAGCATTCCCAGCCATACCAGTGAGCAAGATCCTGGACGGGAGCACAACCAGGCCAGCTGACCCAAACCTCAGACATAATAAAAGATAAGGAAGGAAATGGAGGGCATTCGTTATTTACAGTGCTTGCCTTCCGGAGCGACCGATGTGCGTGAGGAAGCCCTGCTTCCCGCGGGGAAGTAGAAAATAATCTTTTCTCTTTTATATCTTTTACTTTAATCAACTACCTTATGCCAAGGTACGAGTATCCATTTCCCATGTTATTGTCCCTCCCCTGTGGAACCCGGAAGAGGAACCGACAGCACGGTTCAGGTTGCGCCCAGTCCCGCGCGTCCGGGCCCCCACACGCCCACAGCCTTGCACCGCCCACAGACACGCCCCCGCGCTCAGCCACTCTCTGATTGGGCAGCGAACGCCGGGGCGTGGCCTCGGCAGGCTGTGGGGCGGGCGGCGCTGCCGGCTCCAGCGCAGTTCGGTCCTCGAAAGAGCCCCAGTAAAGCAATGAATCTGTTTCTGGAGCTTCTCCTGTTCCTGGCCACGCTCCTCTATTCCTACCTGGAGGCTTTTGTGAAGCTGTTCGTGCCTGTGAGGAGAAAGTCTCTCGCCGGGGAGCTGGTGCTCATCACGGGCGCTGGCCATGGCGTCGGGCGAGCGACCGCCTTGGAGTTCGCCAAGCGCCAGAGCAGGCTGGTCCTGTGGGACATCAACAAGGTAATGGACACACTCATGTCCTCGCTCCGTGTGACCTCCGAGTCCGCGGGGCATTTAGGGGCGTAAGAAGGGCAGCACCACATTGCGCCCTCGTCGCCCAGCCCCTTCCAGCCCGCTCCCATCGGCTCCCGCTCGGCTCCTCCGGCTGGGATGCCGAGCGCCAGGAGAGGATTTGGCCCCGCTTGCAGCAGAGCATGTGGGGCTCTGGTCCCACAGTCCCTCGGTGCCACTCGGGAGGGAGCAGGCAACAGCCGGCAGAGCCCCTGCGACAGGGAAAGCAGTGCTCGGGAAGCTGCTGGTGCAGCTGCTGCCTGGGCTGGCAGAGAAAGCCCGCTGATACCAGAAGGCTGTTTGCAAAGAGCAGCAGGTCTGCCTTCGTTTGCTCTCTCTGTAGCCTCGGGTGTTTTGTGTGCAATGCTGGGAGATGTGTTTTCCCTGCACTCTCAGCAGCAGCATCCCTGTGCCGGGCTGTATGTGGGCCCGGCTGCCCTCTGGGCAGCTACACGCGTAGGTGGCATCTCTCTAAATGTTTACACCGGCCCAAGCTCTTTATTTCAGATTATTTGAATGGAATGGAAAAACTGTGGCAGGTGGAAGATGGGCAGATACAAACATGCAGCCTGGCATTCTGAAGGACTCCAGGCCAAGTGCTGGCTGTAGGTGCAGCAGGGTGGGTGAGAGGCTGAGCTTTCTGTTTCTGACACGCTGGGTCAGCAAAGGAGTTCATCATGAAGCTGCAAAACAGAACCTATCCTTCCACAAACAAAAATAGATCAAACCTGAGACAAGCTGTGTGAGAGGATGGATAAACAGGGAAGATAGTGTTGAACATTTTCAGTGTCTGTTAATGGCACCCATTATGCCTGAGACCAGACTTTGGAGGGGTGGGAGGAGGCATGGCACCGCTGCAGTGCATGCAGGGCTGCAATGAAACAGAAAATTGTTTATGTTCACTGGATGGAATGGGGAGATCTAGGTATAAATTTAGTAGCGAGCGACACCTGGCTTTAGAGTTGGGAAGTAGATTGTAAGCGTGGGTGTCAGCACGAACTGAAACACAATATCAAGGGAGGCTGTGGATTCCAGAGGATTTAGGAGTATGCTCCTCCAACCCAAGTGCCTTGACAAGGGCTCCTTCTTGGGGGCTCTCAGCATTAAACAGCAGCTGGTGCTGAGGACAGCTGCCCAGTCACCCAACAGAGGCACTGCTGACCCAGGCTATTTATGACCTAGAGCTTTTCACTGCACGGGTTCCACTGGCATGGCCTTCTGGCACCTGGGAATAGGGATACAAAAAGTCACTTCTGCTTTGGCTTAACGAGTTGATGCAATGACTTTAGGGAGCTTCTGACCTGTGTGTATCAAAGGTCATTCAGAAATTAAAATTTTTGTACATTGTGAACTGTGGAGGGCACCTCTCTTCTCACACCCAGCATGTAAATACAGAAACACATAGAGCCAGTGTGTCAGGGTGCCAGCCAGGCCTGTATTTTACAAGCTGTTTACGTTCACAGTGCTGTCTGCTGTGCTGTGATAGGCAGCCTGTGCCCCCTTTCTGCAGCCTTGCTCTGTCTGCCTTACCAAGCCAAACTCACTCTTGTTGCCACCCTACCTTTCTGGCTGTCACTACATGCGGATCCTAAATTTCCAGCTGGAATGCCTGTCCTCTCAGCAAAACCATCTACAGCTCTTTCCCTGGGTAGCTAGGAACTGTTCAGGGGCTGGGCAGTGGTTGCTCAATCCAGGAACATCTTCAGCCTCTGCTGCTCAGCCGTGCTGAGGGGACAGCTGTGCACAGCTGTGTCTTTCTCTTTGCCTCTTCCAGCACGGCGTTGAGGAGACAGCAGCAGAATGCCAGAAGCTGGGAGCCACTGTTCAAACCTTTGTGGTGGACTGCAGCAAACGGGAGGAGATCTACAGCGCTGCAGACAAGGTGGGGCAGTCTCCTTGTGACAGGCCCCCAGCCGGGTAATAATTAGCATTGACTCCATGATTCACAGAAGGCTGATCAATCTCTTTATTATATTATTATAATTATTAAGAAACCCATTGCTTTTATAGACAGTTATGATTCAGTTAGACCTAATTTGTCCTCCAATGTGATGGTGTTCACAGGGGTTTTTGGATGAGGGAAGAGACAAGGATCTGACTTTGTTTCAGAAGGCTTGATTTATTATTTTATGATATATATTACATTAAAACTATACTAAAAGAGTAGAAGAAAGGATTTAATCAGAAGGCTAGCTAAGAATAGGGAAAGAATGATAACAAAGACTTCGTCTTGGACTCTCTTTCCGAGCCAGCTGGGCTGTGATTGGCCATTAATTAGAAACAACCACCATGGACCAATCAAAGATCCACCTGTTGCATTCCACAGAAGCAGATAATCAATGTTTGTATTTTGTTCCTGAGGCTTCTCAGCTTCTCAGGAGGAAAAATCATAAGGAAAGGATTTTTCATAAAAGACGTCTGCGACACTCCAATCCAAACACCATCACTATTAGCTAATTAAGGCACCACCCTTTGGTAAACAAATCTCAGTAACACATTCCACATGTTCACAATACCAGGTCCAGCAAGTGAAGATAAGAATTGTTTCTCATTCTTTTCTCGCATCTTCTCACAGTCTTCCCCAGAAAGGGATGGGAAAGTTATTTGTTGCTCTCTGTGGCCCGAGAACTGCTGCCACAGGGCAGCAGGGGCATGGCCAAAGGCTTTCCCAACCATGCTTGGTTTCCAGAGAAGGCAGGAAAACCAGAGAAGATGTGTTGCACACAAATCCTGCAAGCCCCTGGAAGCTCTCCATTCCTCACTGCTCTCTGGACACAGAGTGCTGTAGCATTTCCAAAATCACAGCCAGTCTCATCCTGTTTGGGAGGCTCCAGCACATCGCATCCTCTTGCCAAGTTTGCTCTCTAGGGTTGCAGCCTCTGAAGGAACATAGCACTGAGAACATATGAAACACTTTATTGGAATGGCTGTGGTCCAGCTGCCTCAAAACAGTCTGTACCTCTGTGGTCCCAAGTGTTGGACAATACTCTTTTCCTGACCCACAGATGGGGCAACTGAGAGGCATTTTAAAAACTTTTATTCCATTTTCAGTCTGATGAGAAGGGTGAGACAATACAGATGTTATAATTCACACCATCACAATCAGAAGCCAACTATTTCCTAATTACAATAAGCGTTTCTTGACCTATCAGCTTTTTGCCACACCATGCTGTAGATGCCTTAAAGTCACTCATCTAAAACTACTCCTCGTGGATCCCAATACAATGCAACATTCATAGTTCTATTTCTCTGAAGTATCTAGTCTTATTTGCAATGCCATCTTTTGAAACTTCTTTCTAGCTCCATTTCTCTCTCAACAATATCTGTCCTATCCCATGGCGTTTCTAAGTCAGCATTTCTTGTCTCGATTTGCATACAGATCCATACTGTGAGCACCTTCTGTCAGGCCCTGAGAACTCTCTACAAATCCATTTCCCACACCAGTTGTGACTACATGGTCCAAACTGTGCACAGTTTGTGGAACACAATAAATACTGACATTAATGAATGGGGAAGAATCAGATCTAAACCAGATTCCATGGCTCTTGTGCAAAGTCCCTGCCACATCTGGAAATGTGGCATGATCTCCCTCTCCCTTGAAGATGCAATGTTAAGAATTTAACCATGGTTCATCTTCCCCACCCTTACTTTTATTTTTTCCTCTCCTGAGTGACAGACACAATTTTGGGCTTTTGTTTTCTCTCTAAAAGGTGAAGAAGGATATTGGGGATGTGACTGTCCTGGTGAACAATGTTGGTGTGATTACAGCTGCTGACTTTCTCTCGACTCAGGACCACCAGATAGAAAGGATGTTTGAAGTCAACATTCTGGGCCACATGTGGGTAAGGGCCACCACCATCTATATACACACTTGTTTGGGAGTGTCAATGAGGATGCATGTTTAGACCAACCATCATTAGCAGTGA